CGTCTTCACTTCTGTAGCAATATATTTTGCCAGGCCCATAGCTGCCCAGCTAAAGACTCCATCTCTTAACTGCCCTTGCAGCCAGCTGTGTTCCCATGGCTGCCTAGCTAAAGACTACATCTCCCAGAAACCCTTGCAACCAGTTGTGGCCATGTGACTAAGTTCTGGCCAATGAGATGCCAGCAGAATTGATGCATGCAATTCTGGATTGTGTCCTTCAAGGAAAGGTGCAGTCCTCCCCACCTTCTTGGAAGGTGGACATGGGTGAACCATTTTGGGGCTCACAGATAAGGCAGAAAAACAAGTTGGAAGGAGCCTGGGTCTGTAAAACTGAAGCACCAGGTCAGTGAACTGCTTACACTGGAATTTTTTCTTGAAAAAGAAACTTATTTTTTTGCTTATGCTGATGTTATTTCGTGTCTCTGTTAAAGCAATTGAACTACCTAACTCTGGTCAGCAAACTACAGCCTGTGGGCCATTTCCGGCCCACTGCCTGGTTTTGTAAATAAAGTTTTATTGGCACACAGCCACAGCTATTTGTTTACATATTGTCTATAGCTGCTTTCTGGTGGAGTGAAGTAGTTGCCACAGAGACTGAATGACTCACAAAACCTAAAATAGCTACTGTTTGGCCCTCTAAAGGAAATACAAAATGGTTGTCCAACCCCTAGACTAACCATTTTACTGATGAAAATATAGGTGGAGAGGGCATCAAGGCAGGAAGGAAGTGGGTATTGTAAGGGTAAAAATAAATAGAAAAAAAATATAGAAGACTGTTCCTGGTCCAAAAATGGAGACTGGCCCCTCCTCCCTTCTTTAGAACATTTACTTTAAACAACTTGTAATTGTAATTTCTCTCTCTGCCTCTTGTTAAATGTATAGAAATCCTTTCAGAAGGCTATACAAGCTTCTTGCCAGTACTATAATCCAGAAACATCTCCTCTAGGACCTGGGAGGTATCCCTTTGAAATGTTGTCATCAAGAAAGACAGCACCAAAAAGACTAAGTTGGCTGGTCTGATAGAGCCTGGTGAGACCCCTGAGACTATGGCCCCTAGTGCCG